TGTCATTTTTGAATGTTAAGTTAATCTTTAGAATCTACTAGAGAAGAAAGTCTAATGAGTCGCTTGTACCTTAAAAGTGTGTTTTAATTTAGATTGTGTATAAGGTTAAATATACGAGCATACTTTAGTTTGAGTTGTATATTGGGATCAATTAAAAAATTGCGCATTTTTGTCATTAAAGTAATATCATTACATTGCTACCCTCACAACCACCATCATTAATCACTACATTCAATGTCTTCTCCTAGTTGCCTCGACCATATATTACCATTGTTGTCACCATTACCATCTTCATTGATGTCACCATCTCCATTATCACTGTTTGTTACCATAACTACCTACTATGACTAGAAACAACACTATTACTACCCTTAGTATTGATTTTCATACTCACCATTATCATTATTATGTTATCACCATAATGATCACTTTCATTCTTTCTTTGTCAATCAACTTGACGACATACCACCTTCATTGTCACTTTTGTCTCCGTTATTGTTACCACCATCAACCACTAATTTTGTTGGTGCCAACGACACCACCAACTACCACCCCTATCAGTATCACTATCACAACAACCATCCACAACTAGCACTAGTGTAGTACTACCACCATTGTGACCACTCTAACTGTTATTGCTACCATAACCACCATTATCATCATTAATTATCACTACCTCCTTATTGCTACCATAATTACCATTACTATTGGTCACCACCTTCATTTTTTTGTTTGTCCCTCTTACTATCTACCCCCACCACCAATATCATTATTGCCATTATTACCATCTATCACCACCATTACTAGTGTGTTATTATCATCATTGTTATCAACCTCACCATTGTTTGCGTCATAATCACCACCATTGATTATGATTGTTATCATTATTGTTATCACCATTAATCACCCCTTTTGTTGTGGTAACAATCTCTTTGACTGTTAACTACTATCGCGATATTTTATGACATTAGTTAACCCTAAATAAATAAATCTAAATATATATATATATATATATATATATATATATATTTAGTCTCTATAGTGTTATTTATTTATAAATTAGTTTCTATATTAAAAAAATCTTATGTTTTAGTCCATATACAAATATTTTTTTACGTTTTAATCTTTACTGTTAATGGTATTATAATGACAATGATTAAAACATAACAAAATACTTGTACAAGGACTAAAACATAATTTTTAAAATATAAAAACTAATTCATACTAAAAAATGTTAACTATATGAATTGAATATATATTTTAAACAAATAAATTTTTTTGATAGACTTGTTTATAAAAAATTAAAAATAAGGTACCAAGTAAAAAAAAAAATCAAGAATTTTAAAGAGACAAAAATCTCATATATTTAAGTTAAGGGCATTATTTGTGGTTAAGGATCACGCATGTTGATTGACTTAGTGAATATATAGGTCAATCAAAAATATCATAACCATAATTAATAAAATACTAAGAATAATTCATATATGACAAACACTTTTTATTATGATTGAAAAAATAAAAATAAGACTATATATATATATATATATATATATATATATAGTTATGGATAAAATATCTAATTAATAAAAAAAATATAAAGATCAATTAATGAAATTTTTAGTCAATATTATAAAAGCTATTTACTTATATCATGGTAAAAAAAATTAAGAATTTACGTATGTAATAAAGTTGATATTTTAAAATTTTGAGTAATAGTGTAATGCACATCTTAATATAGTAAATATTTTATTTCTTATAAAATAATTATTTTTAAAGACTTCAAAGAAATTGGTATATCATATAAAAATAATATTATATATAAATTGAGATAATTATATATTAAAAAAATATAATTAGATTGCTATTGTTAATATTTTATTCATTCATCTAAAAGGAAAATAAAAAGTAAGAATATAAAATTGAGTAAAATTATTTATTAGTAAAAAATAAGTATGCTACGAAAATAAGATTAACTTATAATACATGTCTTTTTTCAATTAAGTTTAATGTCCTATATTTTTATAAAAATTATAATTAGTTAAAATATAAATTTAGTCTCAATAGTTGAAATATTTACAAATTAATTTTTATAAGTACTCATTCAAGTATTTTGTTATGTTTTGGTGTTACAATGGCATAGACCAAAACATAAACATAACAAAACTCTAATTCCTAAACTCTAAATATAACAAAATACTTGTAGAAAAACTAAAATATAATTTTGAAGTATAGAGATTAATTCGTGAATAAGTATCAATTATGCGTATTAAATATATAATTTAACCTAAAATTTAAAAGTGACAACTATAACTAATTAGACTTAATTATTCTTTTGGTCCCTTGATCAATTGAATTTTTCTATACTTATTTTCTCTCATTCCTAGCTCATTAATCCCTTTTTGTGCCTAATTGGTTTTAATTGGATCATTTTATGTTGTTCGGATTTCATTTGGGCTTTATTTAATTTTTCCAGCATTAGGTAAATTCTGACATTGTTTTGGTTTTTGGGTCATATCTTGAGTTTTAGGGCTCATCTCATTGTGATTTTTGATTTGTAGAAAAGCTTAGAGATAGGCCCACAATTTGTGTGAAGAGGTCGAAGACCAATTCTGGTGTTAAGAAGCTGACTTTGGGCCTAAAAGTGAACTGAAGCGATGCAGTCGCGGATCCTGAGCAAGGTGCAGTATTTGGACCATATCTCAGTCCACAGACATCCAATTAAGCCCATTCCAATAGCGTTTTGAAGCTGACATCCAAGGCTATAATTGCCTTCAGACCACCAGTCAAATTGAGGCCGTTTTCATAGCCTAAATAACAGCAGAATGGGACGAACGAAATTTTGAGGGAGAATTTTGAATTTAATTTGCCTTTTCTCTCTCTCCCCCCTTCCTCTCTCACCTTTACTACTGGTTGTTTTCCCTCCATTCATGGAGGCTTAGATTTCCATCCTTTTTCAAGGATTAAAAGGGACGTGACACTCTTGAGGATTGGTCTCACATTGGCATAAATTCAATAACAAATTCAGTTTCATCTCTTCCTTATTTTCTCCTTTTGCTAATTATATTTTCGAATTGAAGTTATTCATTTGGATTGATGATTATGCATCTGGTTGATTACGTGTTATTTGATTGATGTATGTAATTCAGTTTTAAGGAACATGAATTAGATTTTCAGGTTTGAAAACTACGATTAACGGTATTGGTAAATTAAATTGACACAATTCAATTAGGTTCTAGAGTTTTCTGAACTTTAAGTGATTATGTATTAATTGAATGCATGAAGGTTTTCGTGTGAATGCTGAGTTCGAATTGAGGTTTCATTTAGATTCATTGTTAATTACCGAATTGCTTGTTGATGTATTCTTTTAAAAAAATCCAGTGATACAATAGTCATTGTTCTTCTTAATTCTTGAATTGCAATTTCAATTTCTGTTCACTCTTCATTCTAATTATAATTAGTTGCGTTTTTTTTCCTTTTATAAACAAACCCCCCGTCTTATATACTCTCTAAATAGATAAATTTGTCCTTGTGATTCTTTGAGAAACGACCTTAGTTGCTTACCTCGTACTATAGTAATTAGGTGTATTTTGACTCGTGTGCAACCACTTGTCATCCCTCTCCTTATATATTTGTTAAATTTTAGTTCTCAAATTTTAATTGCATAATTTTAGTTTTTATTTTTTTTAATTATGAGCACTTTGTTAATTGTTGTCTAATTGTTAATGGTATTTGTTAATATGTATTATGATAATCCTATTTGGCAAATACAATTTTACTTTTAGTCTCCAAACTTTTTATTTGTTTGATTTTTGGTCCCTATTTTCCCTCTATCTTGTAGTTGTTAATTATAGATAAGAAAATTTAGAAAGAACAATGCTACCACATCACAACACCCCACCTCTAACCTCTTCACAAAGAATTTGAAATTCATGCCCTTTTTTATCTTTTGACATTTTCCAAATAACCATTCTTATTCTTCTCCTCTTCCTTGTTATCCTTATTCTTATCATTATCCAATGACAATGATAAACCCTTTTTCTCATACAAAAACGAATCTCTCAATTTATGTAATAAGCAATGGGATTGAAATAGCGAGTTTAGAGAAAAATGTTTAAACATAAGGAAGTTGTCAGATCGGGATCATCTCATTTTTTGGCGCAAACATGACCTTCATGTGCCGCTATTTTGCATTTTCGCTTTAAGCGAAAATGTAAAAACACAGAACATGAGGGTCATGTTACGGGAGAGGATCCTGATCCGAAGTTGTCATTAGCTAAGAGGGTTGGGATTGCACTCAAGCATGGTGTGAACATTGTATTCATTGTTTCTAGATTCAACACGAGTGATGTAGAGAAAAGGGTAGTGACAAGCAAGTAATGGTGGGGTATGGGTGATGGTGGTAGTAATGGTTGACACTTCTAAGTTTGAGATGTTAGAGGAGTGTCTATAGAAAGAGAGGATGGGAAGAGAAAGAAAGAAGAATGAAATGAGATTGAAAGAGAAGGAAGATGTTACTTCTCTTAAAAATAACTAAGACCAAGTTGTACAAACACAAAATTAAAAAATTAAAAGTGCAATTGGGTTTGACAAGAAAAGTTATGATAATACACATCACAATTAATAATTAGACAATAATTTAATAATATGATCATAATTAAAAAGATTAAAATAACACAATTAAAAATTAAAGATTAAAATAGAAGAAGCATGTAAACAGAGAGATAAAAGAGCAATTAAGTGAAAAGAAATTAAAGCTAAAATCATAAAACTAAAAAGTAATTTTAGTTTTTAAATTTTTAAAACTGAAGAGTACCTAAAACGTACCTTAATGAATAATAAAAACTAGAAGTCTCGAAGGACTGCAACGACACGTCGTTGGTACCAGGTTCTAGCAGTAACCATGTTTTAAACGACTTGACGGGCCTTTCCGTCCCCTTAAGATCCCCACAAAAAACGAACGCTCACTTCAAAATCAAATCGCTGCCGCCACGAGCCTTCACTTCACATTCTTCACAATCCGGGCGCCACAATGACCAACACCACCATCTCACGAACCATACCCAAACGCTTCTTTCTGGGCCTTCGAAATCATTTTCTCTCTTACCCGCTTCCACATTTTCGGCGTTACCACCGCCTCACCAAAACGCATTGCCACCACAAAACACCGCTCGCTTCTCTCTCACCAAAGCTTTTCCTACCATTCTCTTCTTCTCCCTCTCACAAGTTTGGGTTCGTGGGTTGGTATCTGCGTAACCTCGAAGCTCACCCGGTCGTCACCAAAAGCGTAACGTCCTCGCTTATTTTCGCCGCTGCTGACTTGACATCACAGGTAATGCCGTAACTGGAACTCTTAGATTATTTGGTTCTTAAAATGTTTTCGTGTGTAAGTGCTGAAATAGTGTATTTTTGGTTATTGTTCCTCGTCCTTGAGCGAGGGAAGCTGAGTTCGTTTTTTATGTTGTACATTGTTATGAAATTAAGCTGAGTGAAAATGTGCGTCATTTGCAATTTAGTCTTTGAATTTAAACGACTTGTTTTACGGTATTCGTTTTACTTATTACTGGTTTGAACTAATATAGTGCGGGTTTGAATAATTAAGGTCTAAATTGCAAGTGAGGTGCATTCCTACAATCCAAAACACCATTTTTTTCAATGAGGTTAGGTTTCATACTTTCAGTGCAAGGTGATATTAAGCTAATTTTTTTCAAGTGTTTATAATTAGTGTTTATTGCTGGGACTGGTCAAATTTTTTAATGGCCATTATGTTAATATATTAGTCAATTTATCTTTTTGATGAATTAATTATGAAAAAGGTTCCAATATTACGCTAGCATTGTTGTCCTTGTGCGAGGGTGTTGTAGAAGATTTTTCCGAGGTTTAGATCTTGATGTTTTCTGATAATTTGATTGAGTAAGAAGATTTGGTTTTCCTGTGTGTTTAAATTCAATTTTGGATTCAACGCTGTTCTTTGGGTTTCAAGAAGTTTGTTAGATCTTTTAAAATTGTTAGTCGTTCTAGCTTGTTTGTGTTGAATATCTATGTTTTAGCTTATCTTTCTTCCAATGACTTTGTTTTAACTTGTCTTTTTGGTGATGCCGTACTTTCAGCCTGTCTATCCAAATATTGGCTGTTTCAGTCTGTCTTATTGCAAACTTCCTCCATTTTCCACAAACTAGCTTTGTTTCGTCCTTTCTTGCTATAGACAGGATCCATTCCACTGGACATGCAGCTGCAACCGGCTCATTCCAGCCTATCTTTATGTAGATTGGCTTAGTCCTAGATGCATTTTGGCCAACATTCTGTTTTCCTGAATGTAGTTGAGCCTTGTAAGTTAACCATTGGCAGTGGCAATACCAAGCATGGTTTCCGTGATGACCTGCCATCTGCCATTGATAAACTTGATTGACATCCAATGAGACCTATTATAGACTTCCAATGATTGGTTAAAAAAAATTGACCAGCAAGTTAAACCGATTGTCAGAGATCAAATCAAAAGATACAGAAGAATATATACTAACAGAAAAAAAAAACATAACACGTTCTCTTTCTTCTCCCACACTATATGGAAACATTACACGTCAATCTGCTCTCCGTAACTAATTCTTCCCCTTCATATTTCTCCTACCATATGTTTTCCACATCCAAAGCCAGTGATTGTCTTGCACTGGCCTTGTCCACTTAAGTTCATGGGGCCTAACATCATGTGCCTTTTAGAAACAAAATAAGTTGGAAATAAGACTAAAGAAAATAACCGAGTAGCCATAATTGTGGATTATACTTGAAAAACGGTGGTAGAGATTCAAATGATTGAAGATAGGATTATGATCTTGAAGTTATTAGTTGCACAAGAAACTATTGATATCATTAATGCTTATACTCCTCAAGTTGGCTCAAAAGCTCTTTTGAAAGGAAAGTTTTGGGAGAATTTAGAGGGGTTGATCCAAAACATTTTACAAACCAAAAATATTTTCATAGATAGAGAGTTAAATGGTTATGTTGGTTGTGATTTTAGGTGAGAGTCTTACTACATAACATAAGGTCTTTGTCCTTGATGTTCATTTCAAGATTAGTAAACAGAGAATTCAACAAGTTATTGTTTTAAGAATTAAGTGGTAGATATTAAAAGGTGAGAAACAATTGAAATTTTAGAAACAGTTAGAAGAAGAGAGTATTTGGGCCACACAAGATAATGCTAACATCATTTTAGACAAAATGACTAGGAAGGTCAAGAGAACTGTTAAGAAAATTTTTAGAGTAATCTAGAAGTCTTGGATCAAAAGACAAGCAATGTTTTAAGATTTATAAGCTTGCTAAAAGTAGAGAAGGAAAATCTAGAAATTTATGGCGGGTCATTGTCGAAACTCAAAAAACTACCATAAAATTATGGTGGCCATTATGGCAAGCTATGACAGATATAAAATATGTAAGAAGTATTATATATAGGTCATAGGAAATGATAGAAAGAAATGAACTCAAAATATACGTAGCTTAACCCACAATTCAATACAAAATAAATAGCTTTGGGTTTTCTATTATGTTGTTTTCCTTGTTTTTATTCATCTTTTTATCTTTTGTTACGCTATCGGTGGATTCTGTCCCTGTGTGTGCAATAGTGCTAGTACAAATGTCTACTTTCCCTTTTTGTCTTGCAATTTTTACGGTTTTTTAAGGGTAAAAAAGACTTGTTTAAAAAAATTGATTTTCCCTTTTTGCCCTCAAAATAACCATGTTTTATGTTTTTTTAAAGGTAAAATAGTCTTATCAAAATGCATTCAACACTCCCTTCTCAGATATCCATCTTTGCATCTATTTTTTTAGTGGGCATGTCTCTATCTTTGATTTAGGAGTGACTCCCTTCCCTCATTAGTCGTTGGAGATGGAGCAATCATCGTCAGAGCTACAACAACAATAGTTGCAAAAAGAAAAAGAGGTTGAATACGACCCAAAACCCCAACAAGAACGAAAAGCAGATGGAAGGTCAACCAAATGAGAGACAAAGAAAGGCAACGATTATTTTTAGGGTTGGGCTTGCGAGTTATTTCTCTGGATTGGGTCAGATCTGCGGTCCAAACCATTTTTCTGCAAAAATTGCCATTTGTCTGCCATGGATGCCGTCACTGCCATGCACGTAACGGCTGCCATGGCGCCGCCACTGGAAAATGCCATAAAATGTCATGCCTTCAACAAAGAGCATGAAAATCGCCACTGATTCCCATTATCGTGCCCAGTTATTTGATAACACTCTGGACTCACACTATAAAGTTGTGGAAAAAGGTGATTGAACATAATCTACGAGATAGAACTAAGATTGCAAAAAATCAATTTGGTTTTATGCAATAAATGTCTATAACAAAAGCTATATATCATTTATGAAAGATGGTGGAGAAGTATTGCTACAAAGAAAATGACTTGCGTATAGTTTTTGTTGATTTGGAAAAAGCATATGGCCGGGTACCAAGAGAAGTGTTATGAAGGCTTTAAGAATCTAAGAATTTTAGCTAGAGTAGAAGTAAGATAGAATATATGTATTGCAAGTTTAACAAAAAATAAGATGATAATCATGCGTTGGAAGTTAAAATTTGAGATAATATCATACCATAAGTTTTCAAGTTCAAGTACTCAAGATTCGTGACCATTATAAAATTGGAGATAATATTACTCATAGATACAAGCTTGGTGGTTAAAATGGAGAGAAGTGTTAGGAGATATTTGTGACCATCATAAGGTACCTATAAAATTGAAAGAAAAGTTTTATCATATTGCAATATGATTAGCTATGCTTTATGGTAGTGAGTGTTGGGCTATAAAAGAATAATACAAGAAAAAAGTAGGAGTATAGCAAAAATAATAATGCTAAGGTAGATGAGTGGTTAAAAGATAAAAGAGAGAATAAAAAATGATAGTATACTTGAGAGTATTGGAGTAGCACCTATAGTGGACAAGATGACAAAAAATTATCTAAGGTGGTTTGGTCATGTGTAGAGAAATTTGAATAAACCAACGAGGAGAGTGGATTGCAGCGTGATTTTTAGTGTAGTAAAATGGGGTCAAGGTAGAACTAACAAAATCTTAGATGAAGTTAGTAAAAGAAATTTTTTGATTAATTAGATTTTTGAAAATTTAGTTTTTGACCGAGTTTAATGGCGTCATTTAATCAATGTAGCCGACCTCACCTAGTGAGATAAGACTTGATTGTTGTTATTTTAACAAATTACTTGTCTTTTAAAATCATGGTCTGGAAGCATACTTTATTTTCTAAGTTGGGTAAAAATGCTCTCATTTTTTTATTATTACTACTTATTGATTATTTGACTTTTATAGGATCTTTGTCACTAACAACTGATTTACACTTTTGCTAGATGATCACATCACCCTCTTTTTCCGCCTCATATGATTTAAAAAGGACATCCCGCATGGCAATATACGGGTTGATAATCTTGGGGCCTTCACAGCATATGTGGTTTAATTATCTGTCCAAAATTTTACCTAAGAGAGATGTGCCATCAACCTTGAAGAAAATTTTCATGGGGCAAGCTTTATTTGGTCCTGTCATCAATACTGTTTTTTTCTCCTATAATGGTGCTGTTCAAGGTGATTTTTAGCATTTTGAATATTGTTGACCTTGTCTTAAATTATCAACTCCACAAGTTTATATGATAGTTCATTGACATGGATTGTTAATTGACTGAGGTAGTTTTTAACTAAAATTGATCTGCTCATCCTGATACCTCTTTCTAATATTCTTCTGCTACTTTTCACAATGTTTAGTGCAAACACAGACGTAAGGAACCTGGGCCACTTAAGCATGGGCATGATCTATACTGATTTAACATGTGCATGATTATTTGATTTCTTTCCATGCATTATTCGGCATCCTTAGCTAAACTTGTTAAAAATGTGCTATATTTATCGAACAAGCATATCCTTGTTTTTTATTGGTGATTCTGAATTACTATTTTGATGCCAAAATAGGTGAGAATCGGCCTGAAATTATTGCCAGATTGAAGCGTGATCTACTTCCTACATTATTAGGTGGTGCTCTGTTTTGGCCTGTATGTGATTTTGTTACCTTCAAATTCATTCCAGTCCATTTACAGGTTTGTGAATGTAGATGAAATGTCTTTGTTAAGAAGTTAATTTTCTGTTTGAATTTGATTGAATCAGTAGCTTCAACACAGTTTTGTTATTCATTCATAACTTTTCAGCTGATGTTTGAATCTCTTTTACAATTGCTGCAGCCCCTGCTGAATAGTTCATGCGCTTATATATGGACCATATATTTAACATACATGGCAAACCGACACACTGGGAGCGATGCCTAGGGCTAGGTTCGTATATAGGCACTCAAGCAATTTTCTTTTGCTTAGCATCTCTGTTGGCAGGGAGATTTCTGACCAGCTACATAAATCATGGTATTTGCAAGTTTCGAAATTCCGTATCAATTTGTTATTCAATTATTTCTGTATATAGCACATCCCATTCATAGTTCTCTCTTTAACAGGAACATAACGTATTTCTTTCTTCTACTTTTACCTTTAATTTTTTTGGATAACTTACTCTTATTTTAAACCCCCCGGGTGTGGACCTCAGTGACCTCTGATAATTTCCCTATGAATAACAAGCATACAATCTTTCAGGGTTGTGTAGTTAATTTAAAGATTGTGTTTAGGTATTGCCGTGAGTTATTCCTAGGAGTTGGGCTGATATATTTTTGTAATAATTCTGTATTAGAAATCAAATTATTATAAAATTTGATTTTGATCGGATCATAAGAGATTTTATATTTGTATTTACTTAGATAGACTGGTTTCCCTTTTTGGGAACTAATTCTACTTATTAATCGTTGAGTTGTATTTCAAATAAAATAATAAGACAAATTAAGAGAAACAAATTGTTCCATTTTTTTCTTTCTGACATACAAAATTATTCTTTTTCCTTTTCAGTATGGATCACTTATGTTGTTGTTATTATTTTTTAAGTTTCAAGTTGTAATTAATTCAAATAAATTGAATAAAAATGTTATGTTTTAAGTCAATTAGCTTTTATTTAAATATTATAGTAAATTATCATTTTCGTCCCGATCATTTTTATGATCAACCAAAGTAATCCTTAAATTAAGCAAAATATTATTTTAGTTTTTAATGTGTATAAAATTATTTTAGTCGTCGTTATTGAAATGTTTGTTGTGTAAACGAATAAGAATAAAATAACTTGACATGGTAAGTATTAATTAGATGAATACATGACATTTAATATTGACACAGTGATATGGTTGAAGTTTAATGAATCAATTTAATTTTTACAGAATTTCTAATTAGATAAATTAATTTCTAAAGAATCTTTGTTTAGTCAATTTAGTCTAACTAGATAAATTAATTAATTTTAAATTAATCTTGGTCTTCTATTACATTATGTCTAACTAAATCTATAGCTAGGGTTATGGTGGACTTTTTGCATGACTCAATGTGATCTTTGTAATTGATAATAATTTTAATTTTCTTTTTGATTATTATTAATCTTATTGTGCTATATATATATATGTTCAAAATTAACAACTTTCAAATATACCATAATTAATTATATTATAGGTGACCATACCACATGTAGTTAATTGATCTATAAGATAAAATAAGTCAATGGATTAGATAGATCAAGCTTATTTCTTCTCTTTCAGTCATTATTAAATTAATAGCTTGTAGGTTCTTTATATTTTTTCTTCTTTTTACTTTGTATGACTATTAAGAGTAATAACTTAGGAAAAAGACTATTAGTATTACATGACCATTGGATGTTCTCAGATTTCATATGCGAGGTTGAAAATCATAAGAAAATTATAATTATAGTTAATCTAAAAGTGAACATAGATAAGTACGAAGGTGAAACCATACACCTTAAAATTTATCTCGATTAATTTATTGTCATTATAAGTCACCTCATACGGTCGTTGTGTTATGCAATTTTAGAAACGAGTTTTATTTAGAATTCTACGCTCAACAGTTTACAAGTTTTGTGTCAAACATAGGGGAAATAATCTCCAAATCAGATTCCACAAATTGGGTTTGAAAGATAAAACTCTAGAGATTATGGAAATGTCTTTAAAACTGAATGTCATGCATGCATTAGGTATAAAAAAAAAATTATTTTGCAGAGTTGTTTTGCTAGTGTCACAACGTAGTATACTTTGTGAATGCTTTTGGGGAATCAAATGAATTTCAAATCATGTGTGGGATAGTTTGATGGAAAGGTTATTCTATAAGGAATACAAAAACCAAAGTGCATGTCAATGAAACCAAACACAGGAATTCCAAAAAGTGAGCTTTAGTCGTAGATAATATAGAAAAATTGATTATCAACATACTCAAAATTGCATATATTGGTGATTTGTGGTCCAAATGTCACTTCAAAAGTAGTTATAGCCAACTAATGACGTGTACTAAATGAAAACATATGGCTAATTTAAAAATGAAAAAAATCTTGGAGGTAAGATCATGCAAACAATTTGCATGCATGTGAGAAAAATCCATACTTTGTAGAGGTTTAGTAAGTCCTTAAAGAAAGTTACCTTAGTGCATATTGTGTGGCTAGAACCACGAGCATAATCCTTGAATTCGAATGGTCCAAAACATGGTGTAGTGTATGGTTGGAGTGCAGAAATTGTTATTCTTAAAGAAAGGTAATAATCCTCGGTGGGAATTAGATGTTGGTAGCTTTTAGTTTGTTGGTGTTTAAGTGTAGTTAGATGGAAGTTTTGGATGACAGCTCTAATTGCAATTTTCAAGTGTGTAATGTAGAGAGAGAGATTTTGAGGACATGAGAAGAAGAGAGAGAATAAAGATATGGTTCTTAGCTCACGTTGAGAGAGTTATAAAAAGTGGAGTGAGGATTTTGGCTTTCAGGTTTTACCAGCTCTCGATTTTGGCCCTTAGTGCATAAGATAAATTTTAACTGAGTTTTAGGTATAGGTTTGTGGAGTAACATGTAGTGGGAGTTGTTTAAGTTGTACTTAAGTAAAACACGTGTATTTCCCTTGCACCGAGACAAAGGAAGTTAATTTTATATTTTCCTTGCATATGACTAATAAATCCAAATTTTGTTGATACTTTAGTTAGTTTTTTAGCAGACTTTTAACAGAAAATGAAATTAGAAAGTTTGAATTTCATAAAAATATCAATTTTATAAATAAACTTAATTTCTTTAAAATAGTTCAAATTGTATAATTTTTATAGTTCTCTTTTGTAAATTTATCGATTAGAATAAATGTGCAAGAAATTTTGAGCAATGATTCATGAGAATTAAGCTATTAGAAGCAGAACTAGATGAAAGTGATCACGTTCCCCTCACAAAGTATCAACTCTAGATGTAACACCCTATGACACCTAATATCCACTATATTCTATCTCATTAAGTCAGGACAATGATCTTTCTCGAAATAAAGTATTAACGTGCATACACACATAAAGGCAGTCCAATTATCAATATAGCATATTCATTCAACATTTCCAATCGTCATCATAAATAATCACCTTCAAGTTTTCATTTATCATTATCATATTTCAAAATAAAGAATCAATACATAATTGTTTCCTTGTACAATTTAATGTAACACCTTATATTTAATTTCAATAAATCATAATTTTGCAAATTCAAAATAAACAATTTTCATTTCAAAAAAAGGAAAGGGGTTACAATCTCTATCAAGTAACTACTACAGGACCTATTCAAATACATTAGTTTCAGATTAAAATCCTAGTCCTATAGTAGTTCCATCCGCCTCTTTCACTGAGCCCGGTGCTGATTGTATTGATTACCGGAAAAATGAATGTAAGGGTGAGTAATCTACACTACCCGAAAACATACAATCAACGTAGAGTCTCACCTCAAGAACATTTTCAATACATTAAGTAAACACAATCACAAGCAGCATTATCACACAACTCAGGTCAATTTAATACCCCCGCCCCAAGAATACCACGTGAGCAGTCACGGGTCGCTTAGCAAGGATAGTAGTCAGAGGTCTAGTCAGGAAGATAATGTGTGGCTCATGATGCACCCGTTCCGCAGTCAGTGTCACCACCACTCCCTCTTTCTCAAGGTGTTTCTACCGTCCTCATCTCTTACATCCCCAATGTATCGCTGAACCATTCATAGCACATTACAACGACGATACTACGTCCCAGTCACATATATTTCAATATACGGCACATAACCCACATTTAACGGTACACGACACTAAGCCCATATTTGTTCAACTATACGGTACTAGGCCCACATTTCATTTCCACAGCACACACAGCACATAGCCCACAATTCATTCATGCCACACGGCCTCTAGCCTATTTCCATTCATATTACAAGGCCCACAATGTTCATTCAGATATACACACATGTATAAACGGCACAAGTGTCCACTTTACATATCTCAACAATTTCCTACCCTTTACTCAACTATATCACAATATCACACAAAATATCAGCAAATCACACATAAAGGAGTAGAGTAGAGTCCCCCCTTACCTTGGATTGAAGACCCACGTCCAAACTCAACTACGGAAATGCTCCCCACACGACTTTCAGCCTAAACACATGGAAGAATTTCATGAAAACCCAAAAAATCACCAAAAACAGTGAAAGGGAAGGAAAACGAAAACCCTAACCATTAAAAATTCACCTCCAAGCGTTCCGCACACAAATCTGAGCTCCAATCTCGCTCCCGAACGGCTTTAGAGGCAATTAATCGGTGGAATAGGGCTTTGGGCATGAGAGGATCGAAGGGAGAGGGATAAATAACTCTCCCCGAACCCTAACCCCCTTTAAATCCTTTTCTGGTCGTGACAGTCTTGCTACAATAAGATATTCACGCAGCAGCAAAAATATCAGATGAAACTGCAGCGAGACTGCACCCAGAAATGCACCATAAACTGTCGCTCTGTCGCTACAGCGAGACGTCTCTCGCAACAGCGAGAAGGCGACAGTTCTGGTCCTTTCTCCTAGGGCTCTCTCGCTGCAGCGAGAACAACCCAGAATTACTCCCTGCACTTAGGCACTTAGCTCATTTTCAGCCTATCCAGTCATACATACACATATATACACACATCTATGTACTTAATACACATAAAACATCATTTTCAAATAAATCAACACACATATGAATATATATATGTATATATATATATATATATATATATAAGAATAATAATAATTAATATTACCAAAATTCGGGGCGTTACATTTAACATCTTTAGTCTCAGTCCATTGGCACTCTCAATTAAACCGTGGAGAGAAAAAAAAAATTATGACCAACAAAAAGACTTTTAGAAATAGCAGTTCCACATACACTTATTCTTAACCTTTCACATCATTATCAAATGTTGAACTATTTCATCATTTCTACGAGTACTCATGGCAACTAGTTTCCACTCCATCATTACTAACATAATTTCATATCAAACGGTAATATACGGATATATAATAAAAAAAATGAGTATAAACGGTCAATTATATAAAAGAAATGAGTAAAGTCATCCAAATCAAATTGTCCAAGTTTAGTATTTCAAACCAAAGACCTATGAGCAGTATCAAC